TATATATATATATATGAGCCCAACAGTTTAGATTAAATTTGTGCCATTCTGACGGTTACAACATCATTTCGTATTTGAATTTTAATTTTTTTTTCTACAAATCCAAATCACTTGAAATTTTAGAAGTGTATTATTTACAAATAGTAAAATATTATAAAAATATCAAAAAAATAATTTGTAGAAATAAATTGATTTTAATACCCATGAAACATTTCAAAGGTATTTTGGTCAATTTATTGTTTACGAATTAGCTTTTAGTATTTTTATTAGGTGCGCTTTGATGAGAAGAATGGACGCCTAAAATTTCATGTGATTTAGATTTGTAAAAATAATAATTAAAATTCAAATACAAAATGAGATCGTGACCATCGGATCGGCCCAAATTCAATCCAAACCGCTGAACTCATATATAGATATGAGGTACAAAAAATTCATAAAAAAATAAAAATCATAAAACTAATTTCATTTGTATCTCGTCATCACCTGAAATATATTAATTTACACACACATTACAACGGGCAGATGACCACATTGTCGTTTCTCAGATACAGGAAAACAAAAAAAAAACGACAAAAAGTGATGCTGGTCATATGTTACAAGCAAGATAACCTCTTTCGTAGTAGGTAATTAAATAATCAATTCTTTGCTTTTTATCGCTGAATTATGAGACACCATTGTCGACTACATAATGATAAAACCACATGAACTTAGGTCACACCCTTTACACAATGCAATAGTAATGTACATTATTTAACTTTATTTATTATACAAGATATGGACTCAAAACACATTGAGGAATCCCTTCCATCAAATTTCTAGCTAGAAGTATCTCCCATTTGCACCACATTTCTCCAATTTTAAATCTTCTTCTTCCAAGTTCCACAAAGAATCTGTATAGTAGTCCGATGGACCATGGGATGAATTCCAAAACTCAGCTTCATCATGTGGATCAGCAATCCATTTCTCATCCATTTGTAGACACGGTAGCGAACGATCCGCATATAGAAAATAATCATCAAATGTTGTGACACTCTCAGATGATGGCGAACTGCTACCAGATAGTGAATTGTCTGGTGCGAAATCCTTCATATGAGCATTCGGAGGCTCCTTGTCTTTGGAGTGAGAGAGGAGAAGAGAAGTAGGGTCTTGGAAAGAAGATGGAGAGGTGGCTTGGCATCTCTCTTGGGCCTCCTTCCTCAAATGGGTCCTCCAATAGTTCTTTATCTCGTTATCAGTCCTGCCAGGCAATCTCCGAGCAATTCGAGACCACCTACAAAAATTTAGCAATTAATTTTCCTTTCGAAAGCAAATAATTTGAGACCAACTCCCAAACAATTTGAGATTCACTACAAATTTGTAGTGATCAACTTCCCTAACCAACTAGGCTTTAATCTTATTGTTGGCCATTGAGAAGGCTTAATATTCTCCGATCTCGCAATACGTTATGATGTAAATATTTAGTTATTAGTACTAAAAACTTACTTATTTCCCCATTGAGCATGGAGCTGGAGAACTAAACATTCCTCTTGAGCAGTCATTCTCCCCTGTTTCAGGTCTGGACGAAGATAATTCATCCATCTCAACCGACAACTCTTCCCGCTCCTCTTTAGACCTATAAGAGTCAATTTCCAAACAAAGAGATTCATAAATCCAAGAACAAATATACAGGATTTGTATCTCCTAGAAATTCATATCGACGAAACGAATCAAATCTAGGAATGAGATACGATTCAAATCAAACATTCCCTTAAGTACTTTCACCCACCTGATACCTGAGCTATGTGATCCCATCTCCTCTCTCCTATCAATTTCACAGACATTGCCAACTTTATGTCCTCTTCCTCCATCCAAGGACCCCTGCGCCTTTCTTCTATCTCACCACCCATTCCTACACGACAAAGAAGAAGACTGCAAGCCCCATATATTGTTTTGGCTATTTATATGTATATGTTTGTCTCACTCTCGTATATCTATGATATATGCACACACATTTGGAAGTTGTTTTTCAAGGATAAATCCATGTTTTTAAACTTAACACAAAAACAACACAAATTTGGAACTTTGCATGTTCGCGTGGTGGCTGTCGGGGCAAGATTATGTAAAGATAAAAAGTTATGTCATACATGTTGTCACCACATATATTTATGTATATTATCCATCGCTTCCTTGAGGAAACCCTAATATGGATGTTATAAATAAGGGGCCTTTATGTAAAGATATACATTTATGTATATTATCCATCGCTTGCTTGAGGAAACCCTAATATGGATGTTATAAATAAGGGGCCTTTATGTAAAGATATACATTTATGTATATTATCCAAGTGGCTTCCCTAGTCAAGTTGGGGAAACCCACATATAGGTTTTAGAAATGGGTGTGGTTTGTATAGAGCCGAGGCTCTAAACAATAAAAAAAAAGCGCATCATCAAATAATGTCGAAAAATGTGGTTTCAGTATTGGAAGTCATTGTGATAACCTTAAAATATATTTTTATAATAAATTATAAAATTTAAAGCTTAAAAAATAATATAGATCAAGAAGACCTATGAAAACATGAAAATCTTGAAAATTGATGCTCCAAAAATGTGTCACAAGATGTACTATTTTCAAAACTCGGAATCCATTTTTTTCTCAGTCCAAACATCGTGATGTCGAGATGATCAATTTGAGGATATTTATGCATCAAAACAACCACTTCTAATGAAAATTTTGAGGTGGGCTCTAATTTGATTGTTTAGAGCCTCGGCTCTATATAAACTATTTCCTTTAGAAATAAGTAAGTAGAAGTATCCTTTTTTCAATATAGTCCAAAGCATTAAACTAAGGAGAAGAGGAAAGATTCAAGGTTCTATTCTCTATCACATGGGTGGAAACTATTTGTATGGGAGTTGGACATAGACAGGTGCGCAAACCGGGGTTTTCTAGAGGACTAAGTGAGGTGGTGGTGGCCAATAAATGGGAAGCCCCTACCCTAAAAGACCATTAAGTCCTACGTGGAGGACACTAATTTGTGGGAGCTCCACCTCTCTCCTTACTTTTGTCTTCACTCTCGTCACCCTGAAGATTATGTGGTCTCGGTGTCCTTCCTCATAGCGCACACACTCTTGTTGCCCTCTCCCCCTCCATCACCTATGCACAACGCACCATTGTTGTGCAACTGTCGACCACGGCATTGCATATTCATGGCGTTGCTTCTGTCCCTCTCTCTCTCTCTCTATATAAATATATAAATATATAAAAGTTAACGATAACTAACTGCATATATATTTATTTTTTCAAGTAAGGCTGTTTTTGTAAGTATAATAACTAAAAGAGAATAAACACTTGTCATCTCCATAAATGGTAAAGTTAAAATTTTTATAGAAAGACAATGTTACTTTACAAATAAACTTTCAGGATACTAACTTCCAAAACATCATTGTATCTTTGTATAAATTTTAAATTTTTCCTTACTTAAAGATTAAGTTACCTATTAAAATATTTTTTTAACAAAAAAAGTATTTTTTGATAAATACACCACCATCACAACCAAATCTAATATTGACTTTTGTGTTTTGAGGGAGTTGTTAATTCATTCTCTCTCTTTCTTTCTCACTCTCTCTCTCTCGATCATCTCTTCTAAG